GAGAAACATTCTGACACTATATGCAAAACTGTGTGTGCCTGTGGATTCTTCTGGGTGGAGGCGTAGGTCCACGCTCTTCATCCAATTCTCAGATGGCTCTTGAACCCCAAAAGAAATATGCCTCCAGTCTAACCCAAGCCAGGAGTTTTGCTGCTGCCTTAAAGGGGTGACTGCGGGAGGGCAGGACCAAATTTTGACATTGTGGTTTAGGATGGCCAAATGGGCAATGGATATTTCTCTATCTGCAGGTTGGAAAGTAAGTGTCCATCAGGAGGGTCTGGGGTTTCCGGAGACAAAGGAAAGATGTATTTGACAAACCTCTCTCCAGCCATGAACCTGCGCTTCCACTCAGGGTCCACAGCTACCCATTGCCACTTCATTACATTCCTGCACATCCCCATCCATCCTCATCAAACATTCCCCCCAAACACTACCCTCCGCTGCAGCCTTGCAACACTCATAAATACAGTGCAATTAGCTGGAAGTCTCCTCCCTAAGTGCGAGAATCATGTCTTTGGTATTTATGCATGGCCAGCACCCTACCCGTCATCTGCTACCTAGTTAATGCTCAATAATTGTTTGTTGAAGTCAAACGAATTCAAGTGGGTTGGCCACCCTTGAGGGATGGGGCATGATTCATGATGTCTATGAGCAATTATACTCCATAGTTTTCAAAAATAAAATTTTGGAAACTGTTTCAAGTTAATTTGTCTAATTATGAAAAGCCAAGGGAAATTATCCGCGGATACTTCTAAAGAAGAAAGATATGGTAATTTGCAAAGGGCACAAATTCTGCAGAGATTTTGCTCCTCAGCCACTATAAAGTATGAGAGAGTGAAGAACTTAGAAAACTGTGAAATGAACAGATCTCATCTAATTTCAGTGCAGCAATTATAGCTCTTTCTGAGGATACATGAAAAGACCCAAATGTGGTTACTATAGTAGTAAATTGGTCTCCAAGAAACTCCTTCATTTTCTCTAGAAAAATAAATAATTTTCTACCATAGAGCAACCAAATGATAAGAAAAATAACCCACAAAGAAACACAAATGTATCTGGAAAGAAAAAAAAAAAAGATCCGCAAGCAAATGCCATGGTGGGAGAAAAAAGAACAAAACAAGACTAAACCGTTTAGGCGAGTGAATGGATGCCAATTTTTAAAGAGCGAATTTTACAGGGTTATTAACATGATGAGTGTTTTTCCAAATTCCTTAGTGGCAAAGAAAATGGGATATTTTATTAAACAGAAAGGGAATTTATCTTGTGTAAGATACAGACATTAAAACACCTATCGGCCAAGAAGCCCAGAGATGATGTTACGCGAGCTACATTTTTAGGTTAGTACACATATGGCAGACAGATGACTAAGCTGATGGGAAGGCACGGGAAGATTTTCTAATACTTGAACTTCTTCATTAGTGAGAAATGCATTATTTCCAAATTTCGGTGTAGTGAGTTGGAAGGTTATCAGCCACAGTAGGAACTCCACGACCGACTGCATTTCATCTCCGCCAACTGCACCGTGTTACTGTATGAGGCTTTCTTTGGTCAAAAGAAAGCACCTTGTTACTTTTATACAGATAAATGGATTGCACGGAGGTTAAAGGGAGCAACCTTGAGGATTGTGGGGCATGTTCACCATCTCAGTGGCAACCAGGGCAATGTGTTTTTCTCACTAGCAACATCCCTTTGAATCTGACAAAATTCCCCCAAGGGTTCGATGTGGGGTCTTGTCTGTCTCGAGGAGGTCCAACTTGAAGAGGCATCACTAGTCATGGTGGCGAGGACCGTTGGCTCCCTGAGGGCCGGGCGCTGTCTCATCCCTCCCTGTGTCTGGTGCCTTTGCTTTGTGTCCCGCATACACAGTGGCTGCCTGATAAACATGGGTTTCCTGAGAGGTGGACCCCTTAGCTGACACTCACACTTGCAGAACGTTGAGCTGAAGTAGGGGCTGGGGGAAACCACGCAGATCGGTAGGTTTCACAGAGCGCTCCTCAGAGTCCACACACTCACTCAACACATTGTCACCGAGCACCTCCTATGCACCCGGCTTTGGAGCAGGTCATGGGGACACGGAAGGGGACAACACAGACAAGGTCTCTTTTCTCACAGGACTCAGGATCCAGGTCACCCAATTCCACCACACCCAGCTACATTCCGGATTTAAACTGTGTCCTTGTCACATATCAGTGAGACAGCAGCGAAGAGACTCAGGCCACATTCTAAAGTGAGCTGCAAACAAGTGGGACCCCCCAGAACTTTCCAGGAAGAGGCACAATGTGATCTGCTACTGTCAGCCAGCACCTCCTCCCCCCCTCTCCTCCTCCAGTCCACGTAAGGAGCCGAAAGAGGGAACTTCGGCGTTGTCAGAAGGGCCGAGATCCGGGGAGAGGTGACTTCCTGTCCTCTGTGATGGGGTCAAGCACACAACCTGAAGGGTAGCTGGTCTTGCTGATGCCAGGCCCCTGTGCATGGCACTGGGCAGTGGGGTGGCTCCTCAGAATGCCCTCCTTTCCTGCCTCCAGAGAATTCATGGGACAGCCGGCTTGTAGGGACCAATGATACCAAGGGAGTCGCCAGCCAGGGCCAGTCGGGCAGCAGCCGCCGCTGGCCAAGAGGGGGCTCTAACTGCAGGTGGTTTGGCAAGAAGACCTCGGCTCTCTCCTATTGCCCTGCGACCTCTGACCCCGGGGGGCTGGCCTCCGCAGGTGAATGGGAGTTTTATGCACCCGAAGGATTTCATGATGTTTAAAAAGCACACACCGCTTTCCATGTCAAACACCACAACCTCTTGATCAAGAATGTGGGCATGTTGCAGCGATCACCAACGACGATGCCATTAGTTACTTCAACATCTCCTACAAGAGGGGTTGACAAACTTCTCCTCTCAAGGGCCAGATGGGTGTCGGTCACAAGTAGTCAGCTCTGCTACTGGAGGGAGAAAACACTCTGAGACGACACAGAAATGGCTGCGTGTGACTGTTGGCACGTTATTTATGGACTCTGGACCCTGAATTTCACATGGATTGCATGTGTCACAAAATATTCCTCTTTTATTTTTTTTCCCCAGCCATTTAAAAATGGCACAGACCATTCTTAGCTCATGGGCTGTGCAGAAGCAGGCGGAAGGCTGGATGTGGACTGCGAGCTGTTGCTCATTTAGTCAACGCATCTTTGCTGTGCCCTGTTACATAGAACGTTCTCCAGAGACTGTGTTCAAGGTGAGGTCATTTTCTTCCAAATGCATTAATGCAGAGGGAGAAGATTTTCTGGAAAAGCTCTCTGAAGATGCCCCTGTAGGGTTGCTGGGAAATGGTGGCACTTTCAGACAGTGTGTGCTATGTCTCTGTCCTGCAGCAAGCAAGTCAGACCCAGCACACCCAAACACAGATATCTTCGTTCTTCTACCATCCTCCGGGGACACAGATCGACAGAACTGATTGCAGAGGGGGTGTGCCCAGGGGAGAAAAAAAGAAGCCTGTGGCCTGCCATCAGGCCTGAACAAGGCACTCCAGGACGCAGGCCTACATAAGTCTTAGAGCCTGCCTGGATGACGTCCGTCCCTGCTGACAACCACAAGCATCTCAACAGAGAAGCGGCTCGAAATGGTAACACGGCAGCTCCCTCCCTGGGGCTTGACAATACAGAGTTACCCCTGATTCTTGCATTCCTGGCCCCCAGGAAAATGGGAGGTGTCACCAGGTCTCACTCCTGATGCACGGTGAGTCTGACACGAACCTCAGTGCCCGCTCACGAGGAAGAACCCTTGGGAGATGTGGACGCCCCATGGGGACTTGGTCAGCCAGCTGCAAAGGCTCCATGCTATTGGGTCTACACTGAAAAGCGGCCAACCCTTCTGGAACTGAGAGGTTTCCCAGGATGTGGGCCTTGCTGGGCTCAAACTGGAAATGCTGCTCACCCTAAAAGTGAGCCTCCTCTATTTCTATTTCTCTGTCTTCTTACCCCTCTCCCAGTCCTTCCAAGGAAGCAGGACCCTCCAGTGCTTCTTTGTGAAGCAGAAGCTGAACAAAGCTTGGGAAAGAAACTTTCTCTGGAAAACCCCTGAAACGTTCCACTTAAGGCCTTTCCAAAGTGCAGATGTACTTTTTGTAATGAAAGAGCATAAATTGTTAGAAGATCCCCTTCTCAGTTTAAAATGTTCTGATAGCTTTAGCTTCTGCTTCAGTGTTGCTTGAAAAAAAAAATCAGTTTATAAAAGACAAGTGTCACACGCTCATTATCCCTTAACACCCCCGGAGCACAAGCGGATCTGCTCATACAATAGACATAGCTTCATTTCGAACTTCTAACGACCCCTTTTTACCCTAAGTACACTGTGGGAGAGGAACTCCAGTGAGCTTCAAGAATCTCTTGAATAATATTTTAACAGCACATAAAACAGATTTTCTGGTGCTCCACTAAGAATATCACACAACAAATTATTTACATCTACGATCAAGCTAAGCCAATAAACCAAAAGCACATTTTTAAACCGTCATAGCTTTGACCGAATTATCCTTTTGCTTTGGTTGATGCTTTCACAATTCACTAATGAATCACTCAGTCAAGTATGGAAAATCAGTGAACTCTATGTTTGCGTATCCATGGGATTATATAAAATTACTCATCGCTTATACAGAATTCAGGTATTGCATTTTGATCTCCTCAATTAGGCAATATCAATGTGTCAGTAATTCTGGAAGGGGGAAAAAAATGCAACCTTTGGATATAGCAATGGAAGTAGGAGCCAAAGAGCGTTCCAGCCGAAGCATATGCACCTTGGCTGTTAACACAGAATGGGCGATTGGGTGTTTCGTGCTTAGGGGGCATGCGTTTTTATGTTAAGAGGTCGGTGTTGCCGGCACCGTCGAGGTGAATGCGTGGGCTCGTGTTACTGCCCTACACTGGCTCTCAGGAAGCCCCTCCTCCATGGGACGAGGTCTCCGACCTGTGTATCAGCCCTCGCAGCAGAACAGGGCCCAGGGGAGTGAGTCACGCACCTGACCAGGTCGATGACCCGCTCCCTTGGCGCAGCGCTGACTGGTTCATCGTTAATCATTACGATCTGATCTCCCGGGATCAGCTTGCCTTCGGAGGGGCCACCTGGAGACAAAGGAGAGCGAAGCGCAGGTGAGAAGACCATGGCCAATCCATCCGTGTCCTCCTTGCCCCATCACCGTTCACTGTAAGCACCTGGCGCTGTCTGCCAACACCCCAATCCTGCTGGCACATTAGAAAGACCTGGGGAGGGGTGCCTGGCCGGTTTGGTCGGTAGAGCACAGGAATCTTGATCTCGGGGTCATGAGTTCAAGCCCCATGTCGGAAGTAGAGCTTATTAAAAAAAAGAGAGAGAGATAGAAAGAACGAACTGGGGAGCTCTGGATAAACTCCAGAGGCCCAGGCTACACCCCGGCCAATTAGATCAGAATCTTTGGAGGTGGGAATCAGGCATCGGCATTTCTCTAGAACTTCCCCGGCAGGCTTGAGACACAGCAGCCTAGGAGAGCTCACACTTTAATGGACACACGCAACCCTGGGGGCCTTGTTATCCTGCAGACCGATTCAGTAGATTTGGAGGAGCAACGGGTGAGGTACCGCACTTCTCACCAGCTCCCAGGGGCTCCGGATGCTGCTGGTCCACCGAATATACTTTGAGTATGGAAGCCCCCAAAAGAAGGGTATTGCCCCAAAGGGATGGCCAACCAGCTATGTAGACGGCCTGCAGCCAAAGCTGCCATCACCTGGGCGCACCTGGATTTGAACAAAGTTGCATTTATTTACTTGGCACAACTAGGGAGGCCACATACTGTGGGGAACCGTGAGGCAGCAAGCACATCAGAGGGAGGACTAACACGATGGGGCCTGTGTTATGTGCTTCCGGGGAGGGGTCAAGATGCGGGGGCGTCTTCCTCATGCTTGTCTAAAAGGTGGGGTCAAGGAAGGAGAGCAAAAGCTGGGATTGTTCAGGAAGCAACAGACAGTCCTATCAGCTGGGGGATGAGGCTCTTTGGTCATTTCTGTGGCCGGGACCGTGGCAGGGACCGAGCCTGGGTGCGTGTGCCCGTGTTCACACGGGATGACAGAGGACTCTTGTGTTTGTCTCAATCCACCATAGTCTTTTCCATTGGGTTTTACAAGGAGGTAGGGAGCTAATATTTGTTGAGCATTTATTATGTACCAGGCAAGGGGCTAGCTGCCTTGCCTAGAATCCCACTGGCCCTTAAAACCCCTTTCATATAATGAGACCCCCCCCCCCACCCCCAGGCTCACACAGATCCAAGAGCTGGATTAAAGGGTAGAACCGGGTCGCAGCGTAGGTCTGTGGACTCTGCCAAGTTCAGGGTGACCGGCATCTCTTTTGAACTTGCTCCTATAATTTAAAAACTGGTCACTGCCAGGTCTCCCGACACATAAACTTAAAGCCACAACTGCATGAAGCATACATTGGTATTAAATTAAACCTATAAGTAAATATTTCAACCATCTCCATGTCTAATGTAATTACCTCCCGAATACTGATAGGGTACTATAATTTTCATTTTATTTCCAGGTCTGTCACTGGGTCATAGGTGCAGCTGAAACATGATCTTTCAAATATTATTGCGATTACTTTATTTAGTAATTGAAATGAACACTTCACAGCCAGAGATGAGATCTCGAAGTAATTCAGATGCTTCCCACCCACCCACCCACCCAGACACTTGGCATATGTGTCACTGAAGCTGGAGCATAAACGAATCTTCTTTCTGGGTAGTAAAAAAGTAGGGAAAACCTTAATATTTCCTCATATCAGTGATAAAAAAATATCCATTTCAAGATGTGGGAACCGAGATTCAGTGTTTGCACACATGAGAAATTCTGAAAATCACTTGAGAGAGTTTACATATCCACTGGATTATTTGCAAACATTCACTCAAATTCAGTCCAACAAATGGTTAGAAATCAGATGCTGATCAAATACTGAAAAACGTTCGCACAAATTGGCTGATGGATGTTAACTACTTTCCGGGGAAAACCACTTGCAGATTAATAGGCCATACTTTTACATCTGACCCGTGCTTTTTGACCAAATGGAAATATTCTTGTTTAATCAAGCAACTTAAACCAAGAATTTCAGAGGGAAGCAAGACATAGTTCTTTCCAAAATACGAAGCCGAGGCACTCTTCAGAGAATTGTCTCGTGCCCCGTACTCTGAAGGCTGGGGTGTCTAGTATAGAAAATCTGGTCACGCCACAGAAATCATGTGAGACCTCAGAAGAGTCATTTTTATGAACGACACGGTTTATTGGACCAGTATTTCCACACCTAAAAATGACTGGAAACGGTACTCTTTGACCTGTTTCACTTTTGTCCCCTGTTCTCAAAATCGTTGAAGATTAGGTGTTACTGTCTGACTAAGGAGAGTCCAGGGCAAAGAAGCGAAGAGGTTGAAGGAACGATGAGGCAATACAAGAAAATGGACAGCAACACTCAGATCTCCCGTCAGCTCTGGGAAGGCCTCCTCTTTAAGAGCATCTCAGAACCAGAGATGTTATAGCGTCCCTCTATCAGAAAGCAGCATGCTCAAGGTCACCCCACTCAGGAAAAGATGTGTGCACACACACCTATCATACATTATATAGCTCATACATATGACGCATAACATATGCACCCGCATGCACGGACCTGTCTCTTCCATGTACACATTAATAATGGTTCGCTCTGGGTGGTCGCAGCTCAGGCGATTCTGGGTTTTTTTTAGCTTTCTCTATACGATCTATGTTGTATGTTTTTTTTACAACGCATACGTATTATTTTGTTATCATAGCAGGCGACAAATCTCTTTCATTTTAGGAATACAATTTTCAGTAGCGTCAAGCTCAACAATCCCACACAGAGAACTGAGGTCGGACCTATGGCTAATAAAATAAAAAGCTTGGGCAAACAGGAAGAAGCTGTGTGGTGAGTCAGTGGTATGAGAGAAAAGGAAGCCGATTCTTCCCTGTACGTGTCTGTAAGGTGGTTGACTGTGTTCACAGGGCTTACCCCGGGCCACATGATGTCAAAATAATGAAAAATGCAATCAACTTTTGAAATCTTTACTACTCACTAGATGCCTTTTATTCTCCTTAACTGGCAGACTCAGCAGCCCAGCTATTTTAGAGTTTAGTAATAATAATAAATATCTCTGGAATGAGAAGCAGGTAAAGCTGGTGCTCTTTTACTTATTTATTTTTTTGAGTTTGTAAAATTTTAATACAGTTCAAATCAGCGTACCAGCTTCATTTCAGCTCCTTCACCGCCAAACCTGGGGGCAGAGACTACGTCACTCCGGCGCCTTCTCTTTGTCTGGGATGACCAGGGTATTAGCACAGACTAAGAGGGGGGGCAGAGGTGACCTCCAAAGCCATCAAACCTGGGCAGTCCGCTGCCAGAGGCTGTGCTCCTTCCCACAGGACTGCTCTCCTCAGCCCTGCTCCTGACTTGCCAAATCCTGAGGAGGAACGGTATGGAAGGCAATTTCCTTTTGTGTGAAAATAAATCCAATACAAGTCCATTAAAATAAGCTCGTAAGTACATATCATGAAGAAAGAAATCATTAAAAGAGCCTTGTTTCTGGGAAGGCCAGGGCAGCGCACTTCAGGCATTTGCACCCTAGAGCATTAAGTTCAACCGTGTTGACGGTCGAACATCTGTATAGTCCAATGAGAAAGACTGAGGCAGAGGACATTAATGATCTGCTCATACTGTAGAATTGAAGGGATTTGCCCCATCATCGATCAGTCAGCCATTATGGTATGACGAACTACCCTCCAATTCAGTAGGCTGTCTGACGGTCACTTCTTCTCAGGCCTGTGGGCCTTTCGGATGAGCACAGACCGGCTGACCTAGGCTAGGCTCTTCCCACGGCAGGGCAGGCTGTATATATCTCTATAGATGGCAGGCTGGTAGCACCCTGTATCTATCTGGGGGCTCAGGCTGAAAAGGTAACAGCCACTTGAGGGAAACTCTCTTGTCACTTAGACCCAATAAAGAAGGTCAACTGTACAAGCACTTGTCAAGGCTCTGAGTGTCATCTCTGCTAATATGCCGTTGGCCAAAGTCAGTGACCTGGTCCGGCTCAACGGCAGCGGGGTAGACAACTATCTTCTGTGGCCAGTGGGGAGAGAAGAGTGCCTCTTCAAAAAAACAATCCAAGCGCTCAGACGACTAAAATCCTTCTGTGACTTCAGTGCCCCTTTCTGCTGTTGTTCACTAAGGGGTTTTATCGTGAACTTACTGAAATACAGTGCAGTGCCTGCCTCTTTTGATGTACATTCATACTTTAAGAAGTAGGTCATTTCCATGGTTACAAATGAAAGATCAGTGTTTTCCTAAGTCAAATGATATGATGCATTCGGCAACTGAAACCCAGTTTGCAGAGCCCTTTGTGTCCCTCTGGTGGTCTGACTCTGTCCAGATGTTGGAAAAACTCAGCGAGTCTCCACGGCCCGACGCGGAGCCGTGTGAAACTTCTGGGACTGAGCGACAGTCGCTGGGGCAGGGTGTGGCGGGTGACCCCAGGAGACCAGGAGGGGGCCGGGTGCTTACCTGGTGTTACGGAGCGAACGACTACTGGCTTTTCACTCCCGGCCACGAAACCAAACCCTAGCACAGGGTCCCTCCTCATCTCCACCCTCCGAGGGGCCGGAGGGAGGATTTGGCAGCTCTCCAACCGAGGGTCGTCAAATGGGATGCCCTGTGTCATGTGACTGTGGGAAAAGCACACACAAAGGAAAAGAGGCGTTAGTGTAAGCATTTGGTAATGGCTTGGCAATCACATTCTCCCTCTTGTTTCCAAACTTTCGATTCCCTGCTTGGGAGAACGTGGGGAAGATGTGGGAAGGCACGCAGGCATGCTACTTGCGTGCCCTCCTGAATTCCTTGAAAACACCAGACCCACTTCTGCTTTAGGCCTTTGCACTGGCTGTTCCCCAAAGCTGGCATGCTGATCCCGCAGCTATGTGTGTGGCTCCCCCTCCCTGCTCTCCAGTCTCTCTGCTCAGGTGTGACCCTCTGGCCACACACACTGCAAGCCTGCTCCCCCACACCCACATCCCCTTTACCCTCCTCTACTTTGTTACTTGTAGCGCTAATCACGATAACGACCTATAGAATACACTTCTTGTTATTGTTTTGCTCGCCACACCAGAATGTAAGCTCCATGAGGGCAAGGGACTTTGTTTCATTCGCTGATTCATCCCAGCTGCCTAGAACAGTACCTGTCGCAGAGTGGATTTGCAATCAGTAAGTGAATGAATAAGTAGAGAAAGAGAGAACTCTTGGTTGAGCACTATCAATTTATAACCGATATGCCGAGAAAGAGCCTCAGAAGATTATTGATATTCAGTAAGTAGCATCTATGGCTTCTGGCTCCCGAGAAATTGAAGTGATGGGAATCATACTGGTGGTGATGGGTTATCCTGGTGTCAAACACATTCCCCCTTTCCAAAAAAGATGAGAAACGAACTCCTGGCATTTATATTCTGGAGAGATTTTCAACTGATTTAAATGAATCTCTTTGTTCACACCTAACTTCAGAAATTTTATCAATAATCTAAACTCAAGGGGCGCCTGGGTGGCTCAGTGGGTTAAGCGTCTGCCTTTGGCTCAGGTCATGATCCTGGGGTCCTGGGGTTGAGCCCCGCATTGGGCTCCCTGCTCAGCGGGGAGCCTGCTTCTCCCTCTGCCTCTACCCCTCCCCACCACTTATGCTCTCTGTCATATGGATAAATAAAACCTTTATTTTTTTTAAAGATTTTATTTATTTGAGAGAGAGAATGAGAGAGAGAGAGAGAGAGCACAAGAGGGGGGAGTGGGAGAGGGAGAAGCAGACTCCCCGCCGAGCAGGGAGCCCGATGAGGGACTCGATCCCAGGACTCCAGGATCATGACCTGAGCCGAAGGCAGTCGCTTAACCAACTGAGCCCCCCAGGCGCCCCTAAATAAAATCTTTAAAAAAAATAATCTAAACTTGAAATAAAGATGGCATTCAAAAATTTTCAAAATGCATCCGCAAATATCTCATTTGATGCACAAAACAAGCAGGGAATGATGGAGCCGGGCTGGTGTTCTTATCTTCATTATCCCAGGAAGGAAGCTGAAGTCAATAGTGGCTTGTTGGCCCTCGGGGTCCATGCCTCGTATGCCAGAGTGTCGGGTCAAAACCCAACTCCCTGGACTCTTAATGAAGGCTTCGCTCACATACAGTAGCCAGGGTCGCCTTTTGTGAGGGGAGAGTTATTAGTTTGAACGCCAGAAACCTCCTTTAAGGAATGTAAGGCACTGTTATTTCAATGACGTGGACTTCATTCAATGTTTTTGCTCTCTAATGTTCAATAATGAAAAGAAGATCATTTTGAAATACCTCGAAAAACGCTCTTCTATATGCCATGTGGACAACATATTGTTCAAATGGAAAAAAAAAAAAGAAGACTGGGAAGGACGAATTCTGTGGTCCTTTTGTGTACTTAATAAGAGTTGAGAAGAATGAATGGAAACCCTCCAGAATCTGTCCTCTAGGCTTGTACCACCGACTAAGAAAATCAAAGTTTAAAATCCCCTTTAATCAGAAAGGAAGCGTCTTCGATTTAGCAGCTAGCATTCTGGAATGCTCAGAAAAAGAGAAGCATTAGTTGAGAGCTAACGTGTTATGCGCTGCACGCTGACACTCATCTGTTACCCAATTTCATCTTCAGAACACCCCACAGGAACGGCAGTTTGACCGCCTCATTGCAAATGCCAAAAGTGGAAGAATAACTGGGTCAAGGTCACACGCTTCTCAGAGGTAAGCCAGGTGCAACTCACACCAGGTCTCCTAGCTTGACCAGCTACCTAATTTGCACCGACAGTGAAAAATCAAAATACGGGACACCCCTCACCCAAACATAATTCATAACTTCAAGATAGCAGAATGTGAAATCCAGCTCAGGGCCCTCCCTGAGTGACTGCCTGGGTCACACCCCCAAGAAGCTGGCCCTAGTGGTGTCCCATCCCCAACGTCCCACAACCATTCTAGACGTGTGCAGGCTCAGAGCAGCCGTGTTTTAGGGTCAAAAGGGAAGGGCGGTCTTCTGTGAAGTTGCAGATGTTTGTCTGGACCCAGAGGTTAGACGTGGCTACCAGGGTGGGCAACATGCTCGGGATGAAGGGAGGTGGGAGCGGCAGGCAGAGGGAGAAGCAGACTCCCCGCTGAGCAAGGAGCCCAATGCGGGACTCAATCCCAGGACCTTGGCATCATGACCTGAGCCAGAGGCAGACGCTTAACTGACTGAGCCACCCAGGCATCCCTCAGAGCACGCTGTTCTTGAGCTGCCTTTGGCAATGGGGCTCTCCCGTTATGCCCAGATAGAATAACGGAGAAAAAGGGAAGGGGATACCCACAGTTTTAGGGGCTGGCCCCGAGCTATTAATTTGCACCATAATCCACAGAAGACATATTCTAAATGAAGCAGGTTGTAGAAGTGAAGTGACCGGCTCACGGTCACCTGTGTTGCAGAACAGAGAACTGAACCCTGGTTGGCCGAACTTTCCATTCTGAGTGTAGGAAGGGACTGCGGAAGGCTTTTCCCTGTGCCACTGCCAGTCTAGAAAGCTTCCAGCACTGGTTCCCAACCTTGGCTGCACATCAGAATCACCAGGGGAGGATTCAAAAGTCCTAATGCCCAGGTTTCCCTCCAGACCAATCACATCAGAACATCTGGGGGTGTGAGGCAGGGTCAACTTTTTTTTTTTTTTTTTTAAATTTTTTTTATTTATTCATGAGAGACAGAGAGAGAGAGAGAGAGAGGGGCAGAGGGAGAAGCAGGCTCCCAAGCAGCATGGAGCCCGATGCGGGACTCGATCCCAGGACCCTGGGATCATGACCTGAGCTGAAGGCAGACGCTTAACCATTTGAGCCACCCAGGCGCCCGCAGGGTCAACTTTGAAAGGATCCCTAGGTGATTCCAAAGTGCAGCAAGGACTGGGAACCATTCCCTGCTCAGGGAAGTGTGAGGTCTAGCTCTCCTTCTAGGTAATAGGAAAAGAGAACACAAATGATGTCCTGGACCACTTCCTCCAGCCTCCACTGCAAATTCAAGTTAGGATATTTAAAGCATTTATAACTTGATTATCCTCTTTCCACTGCATGATAAAGTAAGAGCCTCCAATTTTTAATTCATCATTCATTCAATAGCTATAATATTATTATTTTATGAATAACTGACATTTATTAAACACTAATTTCATGCTAAGCAATTTTTGAAATTATTTCCATACGTTAGTTCATTTAATTCTCTGAAACAACTCCACAATGCATTCATTTAGTCAACAAATACTTATTGAACGCCCACAGGCTTCTCGCTTCCAGGGATACAATAGGAACCAAAGCCGAATAAAAATAATAAAATGTTCACTCTGGTATTCAGAGATGGAAAATGAACTAAGAAATTAGTAAAATGTATTGCATATCAGGTCTTTATAAGCACTGAGGAGAAAAATAATGCCGGAAGGGGAGAGAGCCCCTGGGTGGGGACACTTCGGGGTTCTATCAGGGGTTGGCTAAATATCTGGGGGCGGAGGAGCATCTCGGGGAGAGGGACCGCTATGTGCAAAGGTCCTGAGACGGGCTGTGCCTGGGGAGAGTGTGCCTAAGGGACAGCAGGGAGGCCAATGGTAGGAGGAGGGGGAGGGGCTGGGATGGGGTGGAGGGCAGGGGGGCGGGTGGTGGTGGTGACACAGGCTCTTGGAAGGGTTTTGTGTTTTGTTCTGAGTGACACCGGCAGCCTTTGGAAGGTTCTGAGTGGAGAAGTGATGGGATTGCGAGCTGCCCTGACTGAGAACAGACAGGAGGAGGCTCGGGTGGGCAGGGAGAGCTTTTCACGGCCCATGGCATCCATCCTGACAAAATACACGGGGGGCTTGGACCAGAGTGAGAGTGGCAGCGATGGCAAGAAATCATCCGGTTTTTAACATATTTGGAGGCCACCCCGACAGGGCTGGGACTCGTACTCTGACACCTCCTTCCTGCACCCAGAGGACATTTAAGTGAGGAAGGATGTATTAGCGCATTGTCTAAAGCAACTATCATGTCCTGATGTATGCAAATCACAGGAGCCATTTTTTCTTCGAGGAGCTAACCCTTCATGGTTTACACACGAAACACAAACGTATCTGCCCAGGTACAGGGCAAGCCTGAGACCGATCGGGTAAAGTTTGCAGGGAGATTTTGCAGCCAGACTCTCTAAAGCCGAATCCTGCACCCCCCACCCCCACTTCCTAGCAGTGTGACCTGTACAAACTACTTCCTGACTCTGGTGCCTCAGCTTCTTGATCTGAAAAATGGTGATACTAACAGCCACACTCGCCTGAGACAGCTGTGAAGATGAACGAACAGAAGTGAAGCATTTAGCAAAATGTCTGGCGCATAGTCAGCACTCAAAAAGCGACGTGTTATTTTCATCTCTTGAGGTCAATGAATAGAAAGGAGTAGGTTTCAGATATTATGAGCTCATCCACTCTTAAAATATGAAAACAAACCCAGTATCGTTTCAAATGCTGATCGCCCAACTCCTGGTGAAATGCCGCACAAATCCTTGCTAAGCTCTGAGACCTTTCGTTTGAAAAAATCTTATCAAATGCAATGATACAATAAATACAAGTATAAACTCATACACACGAGGCAGTCCTATGCCAGAACACAGACAAAGAAAAAAGAATAAAATCCAGGCTCT